TGCCCAACATACTATTTGCCACAAGGGCAACTAATTAAGTATATAACTTGTTTAGTATGGCAAGTTATACATTCTTTAATATCAAACTTTTGTTTCGTAGCAAATGATTGAAAGTTGCTTACTTTCCCACACAGAGGGCCAGTAATTTTGCAGATACTACAGTTCCCACATTTAAAGAAACCTGTTTTGGAATTTAAGAAATTGGTTTCTGGCTTTGGTTGTCTGAAACTGTGCACTAGTTTATTCTTAATAGTCGGTGCACCCCTAAAAATTACGCTCGGTTTAGTGTGTATCAATTGGGCCAAGACAGGATCTTCCCTTAGCAAATGCCAATGTTTGTGCACACTCTTCTTTAAAAATTGGGATTGGCTGCTATAATTGAAAACAATAGGACAAGTAAGAGGATCTAGTGTTTTACGTTCTTTCTTAGATGGATTAAGAAGTACGCCTCTATCTAGGGAATTAACCCTTTTTAGTGCGTTTTCCAAAAGAAGTGGTTCATACTCCTTTTCTATAAATTGGGTCTTGATTCTCTCTAATTGTTGTTGGCATACTTGTGGATCTGTGCAATTCTTTCTTATTTGTTGGAATTGACCGTATGGAACATTATTGAGCAGTTATGCTGTTAGCCTGCACGAACTCAAGTGGATTATAGTATTGGGAACTATGATTTATAAATAGGAATACAGATACATAGTTATTATATTGAGCTGAAGCTTCTTTTAAGGCATGTGCTATGAATTTATGTGTGTATTTGTATTTTTTGTTGTATTGTTTTTAATATATTTTCTATTTATATATACTGTATTTGGATACTTTGTATGTACATATATGTAATATGAAGAACGATCCCATCTTTCTCTAATAGCAACATTGTTGCAGCTTTACATTTTGCTAATATCTTAAAATAACTACTTAGTTGATTCGGCTTTTTTATGGATGATTAACGAAATAACATAAAAGAGTGGTGTGAATGGCCGCGAAGCCCGCGAAGACGGGTGAAACGCGTTGATGTGCAAGCGGCCATACATTGTTTTATCTCTGTAACAGCAGCGGTCCGTCTTTTGAGCATTTCCCCAGCATTTTTACCTGTTATATGGCTTTTGAAGGTTCAGCCGAGACTTGGGAAATAGGAGCATTGGACGGTATCGTTACTTGCTATTACAAAGTAATATTTATTCTGAAGTTGGGACACTTATGATTGTGGCACATGCCATTGACTTTTTACTCTTCTATATATTTTTTATAAGATCAATCTACAAATTAGATAGTATCAATTGATTGATTTTTATTGTAATAATTGATGCATATACAGTCTTGGTGATTCCACATAGTAGAAGTAGACTTGCCAAAATGCTAATTGGTCTAACGTAGTGCTGGCACTTACCTTTTTCTATTGAATATTCGTTTTGGGTTTATGAGAGAATCCTCTATGTGCTTCAGCTGCTCAATATAGGCTAAAAGCCATTTTGTATTATTTATTTTTAATATCTATACTTTAGTTTGCATTCTCGAATTTTAAAACAAAATAAAGTATACAAAGCCCGCTTAATGTAGGCAACAACCTGGGATCCCCTGCACCGCCTATATCTTCGATCTGATGAGCTGCTGTTGGCTATTCATTAGGAACTGTATATCCCATAATGTTCTGCTAGGCTTCAGCTGCCTGAGCATCAAGGGAAATGTAGTCTACAAACATGTGCAGTGATATCCTGTTTACTAGGGGGTAATATGGAATATGCGGAATGTAGAGGGTAGGCACCTGCAATACCCAACTGATCCAACTTTGGCATGCATGATATTGTGACAGAAGAGGCTGATATGGAGCATGCCAGTGATCTAATCAATGGAATGGTGAAACACAATGGTTAATAACCTCCATCAGTTATTATATGAGTCTTGGGGACCTATACTATATTTTAAAATGTTTTTTTTTTTTTTATTGTGCCCACTGGCTGCCTTATTTAGCCTATTTAAAAGAGAAATTTACATTTAGCAATACACCACACAGCAGGCTTTTTAGACCACAATTGGTGACATTTTTCTTTCTTTCTTCTTGGACAGTCACTTTAATACACCCTGTTCCAAATTATTATGCAAATGATATTTTTCTCATTTACCTAAATAATTGATGTAAATAACAGACAGCATAATTCTTATGTTATCAACTATTAAGAGTACAATTCAAATTTTATTGAATAAACCTCCTAATGATAACAGTATTTTTTTAAACATAAAAAACTTGCACTGTTCCAAATTATTACGCACAGTAAGTTTCAAAACACTTGTAAAGAACTGAAAATTGTCATTTATTCTGGCTCTGCTTTTGTGGGTGATATTATATACATTATTGCATAATATATGTAGAGACGCTATGTTTGTTTTTTCTGTGTTCTTGTTATATAGATATAAGCATTTATCGATCTCTACAGCTCCACCTTATGTATGTATAATTTGTCATTTATTTTACACACATTCTTTTTTGTCCTTACTGTTTTTCTCCTTTTTGTTATATTTTTCTTTTTAGACATAGGCAGGTAGGTTTACAGGTACCTTTCCCAGTTTGAAATACCACTCAAAATTACACTTAAGTCTCTACAGGCAACGTAAGATAAAAAAAAAAAAGATCATTTATCTATTTTGAAACACTGAGTATTTCATATTATTAATTTTAGCACTGCTAATGCAGTAAGAATTACAAAATATTGCAACAGATGACATGCTTCTAAAAAGTTTAAATCATAATAATTAAGTCAACTAATTAGATCTCTCTCTTTTTGCAATAACCAACCTTTGTTGGTGGAAAATGTATTATCATCTTAAAGGGTTACCCCAACCCTGTTGTTTTAAATTTGGGGGGGAGGGGGAAGGAGGGAGGATATACAGGAAGGTATGTTCTATATGAAATACCTATTGGACTAATGAGGTCCCCTACATTTTTCAGTAAAAGTTTTTTTTTTTTTTTTTATCACCTGGAATCCAGCGCTGGGCAAAGTTCCGCTGCCTTTCACATTTACATCTGATGTAAGCAAGGGCCTCAGCGTTCCAATTAACGGTTCTCATAGAGGGGATACTGGGAGGGAAATGTAATAAAAATCAATACAAACCCCTCCAAAAAACTATTTTGAGAGTATAGAGAAGTCGGAGGGCTCAACTCAATGAAGTAGAAAGGGAGGGGCAAAAAACATTTCCAGGTCTGCAAAGGAGAATCTCAATATGTTCGTTGCCAGGGTACAGTGCGTATGGTCAGATGTATTTTTGCACAGAATTGTCATTTGGCAGCCCTGCATAGCGTTCCAGGCTGCCAAAGTCACGTGTGTCAGGGTTGTAACTAGCAACCACAAAAGTGAAGACTACTCTATTTGTGCATCATTCCAAGCATATACACAGCACATACACATTCCAACCACCATGACCACTTCAAATCACTCAAGTGGTCATGGTGGTCGGAGTAACCCTATAAGCACTGGTCATGGGTTGCTTAGCAACCAAAATATACAATTACCAGGAGTGAATAAGCAAAGGTTACAATTTCATTATATATATGTGCATTAGATAAAGCATGGGATAATGTTTTACTCCATGTGGGAATCCCTACATGGTTGAGTAAGTTAAATATTCACTATTTAACTTGGCTTCACGCAACTTGCTCTGCAACCTCGGCAAATACTTTGTAAGATAAGATTTTTGGATTTGGATAAGATTTTCAAAATGATTTAATATTTTTGGATAAACTTTTAAAGTTATTTAACATTCTGAAAAATACTTTTTAGTTTTGTACGATATATATTTTTAAAAGTGTAATATTTTGAAAATAAAAATAATTTTAAAACTTTACCCAAAAATACTATATTGAGGCCTATGTTAGGATTAAAACATCGATGTAGATGTGAATTGTTAAAGGGTCAGTCTAAGCCAGGGGTGGCCAGTATGTTGATTGCGATCTACCAGTCGATCGCAAAGGCGATGCTTGTAGATCGCAGTTGGCGCTTTACTCTCAAATGGGACTGGCAGCACTACATGATCCTGGAGGAGCGTGAAGGCACTTAGAGGTGCGCCACGATGATGTCGACGTGCTCCCCCTTCCTCCAGTGATCACTGGCAGCAGAAGGAATCCTGGGTGTGGGCGGCGCCAGGGCTTTAAGGCCGAAGCCAGCAGCAGGGAGCAGCAAGCAGACCTTCATTTGTAAGTGGAGTGTTTGCTTGCTAATATCTATATTTTATTTTATGGCTACTACTGCAAGGGGGGTTTAGCAAAGGGCTGACAAGGGGTTAAGTAGAGGGATGACATAAGATTTGTAAAGGGGGCGGGGGTTTTGTAGAGGGGGAAGAGGTTTCATAAAGGGGTGACAAAGGGTTAAGTAAAGAGGACATAAGTTTAGTAAAGCAGGGCAGGGGTTTTGTAGAGGGAGTCAGGAGTTTAGTAAAGAGGTGACAGGTTTTTGTTGAGGGGGCATTGTTTTTGTTGAGGGGGCAGGGGTTTTGTAGAGGGGGAAGGGATTTTGTAAAGGAGTGACAAGGGATTGTGTAAAGGGGTGACAAGGGGTTAAGTAGAGGGAGGACATACGTTTAGTAAAGGGGGCAGGGGTTTTGTAAAGGGGTGACAGGTTTAGTAAAGAGGTGACAGGGTTTTTGTAGAGGGGGCAGGTGTTTTGTAGTGGGGGCAGGGACTTAGTAAAGGGGTGACAGTAGTTTAGTGGAGGGGTAACAAGGGTTTTGTAGAGGGGGCGCAAGGGTTTTGTAGAGGGGGCAGGGATTTAGTACAGGGGTGACAGTGGTTTAGTAAAGGGATAACAAGGGGTTTTGTAGAGGGGCAGGGGTTTAGTAAAGGGGTAACAAGGGATTTTGTAGAGGGGCAGGGGTTTAGTAAAGGGGTAACAAGGGGTTTTGTAGAGGGGGCAGGGGTTTAGTAAAGGGGTAACAAGGGGTTTTGTAGAGGGGGCAGGGGTTTAGTAAAGGGGTAACAAGGGGTTTTGTAGAGGGGGGGCAGGGATTTAGTAAAGGAGTGACAGTGGTTTAGTAAAGGGGGTAACACTATGCAAAAAAATACTACAATGAGCTGTATTGGTTGAAGTGTGTGTGGTTCTTCTAATTATTTATTAATGGCTAATTGCAATTAACATGTGGCATCGATAATTTAATCACCAGCAATTATCAGTTTGTCTTTTATGTCTGACATAGTCAGATGAAAAGCAGATTAGAAAAGCTTTAAAAGCACACAGGGAAGAGAAAATAGCCCAGTCAGTTAAAAAGAGGGATACCTTTTTTGTTTTTAAAAATACATTTTTAGTTACATAACTGAGAAGAGGAAAATAAAGCAAGGATTAGTTAGACTAAAAACAAGAAAAGGAAGTTAGAAGAGGATAAAGTTCTAACTGACTTCCTCAAATAATATTTTTGTTCAGTATTACAGACATAAATGAAGGAAAGGGACCTCAGTTAGGAAAAAAGATCGCCATTTGTTACATGTGAGTTCTCAGTGGAAGAGATTTGATTTCAGCGGTCTAAAATAAAGACAAATAAGTCTATGGGGCCTGATGGGTTACACTCAAGGTTATTACCATTAACGGATTTATAATCCAATCATTGTTAACTGGAGTAGTCCCAGAAGATTGGAAATGAACTAATGTGCCAATTCACAAGAAAGGTAGTAGGGAGGAGTCAGGCAACTATAAGCCAGGAAGCCTTACTTCAGTAGTATTTAATTGTTGAACATCTAAAATCATGTGGATTTCAAGATCTGAGACATGAGTTTACTTCCGGAAGATCCGGGAGACCGCAGCCGTGTGGAACCCGCGCTCGTGAACTGAACCAACCCATAGACTACTCCAAACTAAAGAGGTACAAGTTGCAGGAGTTGCTGGAGTCTAGAGGGGAATCAGCTGGCAACCGATCCAAGGCAGATTTGATCACTGCCCTCATGGAGGACGATCTACTAAGCGGCGTAGCCGCTATACAGCAGCCTGGCATACTATGGGGAGAAGCCCTCTGCATAAATCATGACTCGGATCTTCGAAGAGGCACAGGCATATATCCTGGCCCAGAGAGCTTGGACGAACACCATGCCCATCCAGGAAGGAAAATGGCCCTGGGTGGCCCGGCCACCCCAGTACACAAGCCCAAAATGCCCTACTAAGCCTTCAAGCAGTTTGCGGAGGCTGAAGTAGGCATAGACAACTTTTTGCAGGACTTTGAGAGCATTTGCCTGCTACATGACATTGCCCAAGCAGATTGGGTCCTCATCCTGGCCAAGAAACTAACGGGGAAAGCTGCGGACGGTTACAGGGCCATGCCCGAGGAGGACCTGCAGGACTATGCCGCTGTGAAGCAGTTCCTGTTGGCTAGGTATGCCATCACCCTGGAGGCATACCACCAAAAATTCCAGGAATTGTAGAAGGGGTTCCAGGATTCGCATGCCGAATGGGCTTGCCGCCTGAGCAAGGCAGCCCAAAGCTGGCTGCCGTCCCAACAGGCAAAGACACTGGAGATCATCTTCTAGCTGTTATAACATTTCTATAACGGACTGCACTCCGAGATACAAGACTGGCCCAGAAGGCCAATGAATATACTGATACGCAGCGGCCCCAACGGCTGACAACCCCTCCAACCCACGTGCGCCTGGCACCCCAGTTTACTTCGCTCCCAGCCTCCCACTCCTGAGGGTCCCTAGCTTCCGCACCCACCTCGATGACACCCAACCGGGCAACCATTCAATGGCATCATTGTTCCCAGTGGGGCAACTACAAGAGTAGTTGGGTCCCCCCCCCAATTTGTATTTAGGGCCCCCACCCACCGCTCAGGGGTGGGGGCCAAGGGGAGGACATTAGGTTCCCCCCCCTTATTCTTGTTTAGGGCCCCCACCCACCGCTCAGGGGTGGGGGCCAGGGGGAGGACATTAGGTCCCCCCTTATTCTAGTTTAGGGCCCCCACCCACCGCTCAGGGGTGGGGGCCAGGGGGAGGACATTAGGTCCCCCCTTATTCTAGTTTAGGGCCCCCACCCACCGCTCAGGGTGAACTGCTTCCCACCCCATTTGGTTCCCAAATGGGGACCTCCCCCAGTGCCCATTGGAATGTTCACACCAATCAATTAGAACGTTAACAACTCGCAACATAAGTGTGAATCCGCAAGGGAAGTAATTAATGGGCGCTTCCCTGGGCGGCCACCGTTCGTACAACTTCCCTTGCCCGGTTTCAATCAGGGACCACACAAACGGATGCTCCATGGGATTGTGTGGGCATCTTTTGGGGACAATGGCTGGTTTGGCGGGCTTTCTGAAACTCGGAGTCAAGGAGGCGGGAAGCTTTCCAGCGCGGTGACTTCCAGGTACAGAGGTTCCTGGGAACAAGATGCCCCTGTCACCGGAAGTGGGAAACCTGTGCTTGTGTGGCGGGAACAGGGTACAAAGGGACTGGGACTCCAGTGTCAAGCTGAAGACTCCTGGGATGGGGAGGACCCTGTGAGGGGACACTGGGATTGTGTGGTATACACGCCTCGCATGGGTTTTGATATAAATGTGTGGCCAATAAAGTGTTGTTGTACCTCCAGGACTAGGTGTTGTCCAGTTACTGGGGGGAAAAGGGTTTCTTTGGCCTATAAGAGGTTTCTGACCGGCTGGAGGAAGGAGACTAGCGGACGTAACCAGTCGGGTTGCCCGGAGTCCGCTACAGGGATATGACAGAAACATTTAAATAAAGGAAGAGACTATATTTAGAAGTAAAACTACAAAAGAAGAAGAGAAGAACAACTACCACAACAAGAGGACATAATATTAAATTAGAGGGGCAAAGGTTTACAAATAATGTGAGGAAGTATTACTTTACTGAGAAGCTATTGGATGCGTGCAATAGCCTTCCAGCTGAAGTGATAGAGGTTAACACAGTGAAGGAGTTTAAAGGGACACTCCAGGCACCCAGACCACTTCTGCCCATTGGAGTGGTCTGGGTGCCAACTCCCACTACCCTTAACCCTGCAAGTGTAAACTGCAATAAATACCTTGCAGGGTTAACTCCACCTCTAGTGGCTGTCTACTAGACAGCCACTAGAGGGCACTTCCTTGTCCATAGCACAGAAAACCTGTGCTAGAGCATCGCTGGACGTCCTCACGCTGTGTGAGGACCTCCAGCGTCGCTCAATTCCCCATAGGAAAGCATTGAAAATAATTTTCAATTATTTTCTATGGAAAGCTCTAAAGCGCATGCGCGGCAGCATTAGATCTCCACGGCCGGTGGGTGGGATCAGTCTCACCCACTGGCCGACGTAATGACTGGGAGAAGCGGCGTCGACCCGAAACCACCGCCAAGAGACATCGGCGGGGGTCTCAGGTAAGTGACTGAAGGGGTTTTCACCCCTTCAGCAACCGGTGATTGGGAGGGAGAGGGGACCTGCAGTGCCAGGAAAACAGATTGTTTTCCTGGCACTGGAGAGTCCCTTTAAGCATGCGTGGGATAGTCATAGTGCTTAGATGTAAGATAAAGCAAGGGACCAAAGTATTAGAAAATTTGGCAGACTAGATGGGCTGAATGGTTTTTATCTGCTGTCACATTCTATATTTCTATAATGTTGCATGCTTTTTTTTTTCCCTGCCACACACAACTTATTTTTGCTGTGTGTTTCATAAACCTGACATATGGGGCATACAGTAGCTCACAAATTTAAATTACTTCAAAAATCAAAACCATTCGCAAAAGGCAACACGTAATTATCTCAAACTGTATATTATGAGGTTTACAAAGCAGATATTTCCCCCCAAAATTTTTTAGCATTGATTTTATTTCTACATTTTTCACATGCACATGGCATGTTTATTTTGCGCATTGCAAACCTTGCATGGATTACAGTAAAAAAATTTTTTTTTTTTTAATTATGTGTGTGTAACCTAAACATTTAGCAACATCTGCCTACTGATTTAGCGAAATCCCCCATTTGTAACTTTGCCAGGTTTTTGTGAAGTTAGACGGCTAATTATGCAGGTTGCCCAGTTCAATTTCTTTTACATTTACACGACTGATACTTTGACTACGTCACATTCCAAACATAGCTGCTGAGAAATTAAATTAGATCAATACCATCTGCAAAAAGGTATTTCAAATGATGCATTTTGAGTCAAATATTTTTAAACTTGGGGGCGTGGCCTGAGCTCTGACCGGGATGGACGCCTGAGCTGTGAGCTCCGTACCACCGGCAACCTAAATAGCCTGCAAATTAGCTTTTACCAGCTCCTATGGGGCGCCACCGACGCACGGATACCCCCCAGACACCGAGGGGCCCCCAAACGGGTCAGCCTCACGGCCCGATGGATGGATTCCTCCAGTCCCAGACGGACGCGAGCGGGGAGGCAAGTGGATCCAATATGGCGTCGACAGCCCTGCCCCCCAGGGAACCGCATGGCGCTGCGTTGGAGAGGATAGGCGAAGAACTCCGTAATATGACTGCAGCCATGGCCACTAAAACGGACCTCCTAGTCCTCACAACCACCATACAGGATGCACTGCGTGCCGAAATGGCGGGAATTAGATCGGAGGTGACCGCACAGACAGGCCGCATCCAGGACCTGGAACGCTCCCACGAAGCCCATGCCACGAGGCAGCAGGCAACGGATACAGCCCTAACACGCCAAGGTGAGCTGCTCCTGCAAATGAGAAGGTCGGTCGAGGACCTAGATAACAGGGGGCGCAGATGCAATATTAGAGTCCGTGGGGTCCCCGAAAGTGGAGGAGAAGCAGAAAATGCTGAGGACATTTTACTTGGCCTATTCCGCCTGATACTTGGAGAGGCCGCACCCCACACTCTTAAATTTGAACGAGCTCATAGAGCCCTTCGCGCCAGGTCCCTGGACGAAGGCCCAAGAGACCTGATATGCTGCCTTCACTCCTTCCGGGACAAGGATGCCATAATGAGAGCAGCCCGCTCACGCCCAACCTGGGATTACAGGGGTGCTGCGGTCTCCCTGTATAATGACCTCTCCCCAATTACACTTGAGGCCAGGACAGCACTGAAGCCAATCACAGCTGCCCTACAGGAGAGGAACATACCTTATAAATGGGGCTTTCCCTTCGCCCTACTAGCCCGCACTCAGAATGGCTGGACATCGGTCCGCTGGCCCGAGGAGATCCCAAGATTCCTGGAGGAGCTGGGCCTGCCTCCAATTACGGTTCAAGACTGGATTCTGAGCCCACTGGGAGGAGGACCACGCCAACAACGAGCACCCCGGAGACGGGGGGACAACCCACCAAGAGGTCCGGCACCCCGCAGACGTAACAACCCGGAGGTGCCGGAGTAACAGATAAGCCCTCAGCCATCTACTCTCTACCCATGACTAACCCCCTCAGAGGAGCACTTTGCCCTGCGCGGACACTGGACTTGGAACTGCAACCCCTCACACCCAAACCACGAAGTGGAATGCTGCATAGATGACCCTCCTGCTTCGCCCTCACTCGGGATCCTCCCAATGCCAACAAGAGGTCACGGAGAGGTTCTCGTTCCCCTACCCCCACGGAGTTTTGGGTGGGAGTGACGGGTGAGGTTTCTTCTTTTGGCCGGGTGGGAAATTGGAGGGAAGGCTACCCGCCATTCAAGCCCAGGAGACACATATCACCATGGATTTCAGTTGGGGAGGGGAGGTCGATGCAGGGAACTTTTTGCATTACCTGGGGGGACCCTACTTCCGACCCTAAGCTGAGAACCTCCATCTGTGACACCGTGGAACTCACCTGTGCATTGCGGAACACAGGTTGGCGAGACATTGATGCTGCAAACAAGCACCAACTCTCTTGGAGATCTGTGCACTGGACTCACGGTATTGTGCAGCACCCACAGTATACATAGCAGATCACATGTCTCACCCAGTGACCTCACCTCCTCTACCAGATGTCTGTTACACATACTGTACCGTACATATAATACGTATTGCATATAGCTGTTATATATATATATATTAGGATGGCATTTGTATGACACAACTGCTGGACGTGCCGACCCCCCCGGGCCTGCGGACGGGCTGGTTCACGTGTCCGGAATGCATACACCAGGGACTGGGCGGTCTGATGGCTGGAGGGGTCGGCATATCGCGCAGAGGGAGGTCGGGACTCCTAACACAATCAACATTGAGGAGTAGACACCCGGGAGGAAATGGGGGAGGGGGGAAGGCCCCACAGGGGCAGATAATCAAATGACCTTCTCTTATTTGTGGGAGGGCGGGGAGGGAAATGTAAGTTTTCCACGGTTGCAGACCACTCACGGGGGACACGCTGGGGCTGAGAGGTCAGGGGTGGAGGGAGATGGGGAGAGAATACAGGTTGATAACAAACGCATAATTATTCAGGCTGTTCTCTCGCTCGCCTAATTTTGCAATGTTAATCTATTTAAGTTATCCTATACCACATCTGTCGGGTGGCGCCCTATCTATGGTTCAAATGGCACTAGGCTATGGTGCTGGCGGGTGGGACACACGGATATTATTCTGACATCACACTTATTTTCCATATCCATACTGGTTTGGAGCGGAGCCATTGACTCCACCTAAGGGTCGTGCGTTTTTCTGGACGGCGGAGCCCCCAGAGACCCACATCCCGGTCTGGTTACCGGAGTGGCATCTGGCGACCCCTGCTGTCGCATGACTTCCACCTCCTTAAAACTGAGGTGACATTGAGGTGCATTCTCTTTAACTTATCCATCCCCTACTACAGGACACCTCCATCTGGGGAATATCGTACTTTCCCCATTTTTTTACTCTATTCTTTCCTACTCACTATACTTGACACCACTCATATTTTCCTAGTAATCCGTCCTTGGCTCTAGCACGGGCGCGCAATATAGCCACATCTCGCGCCCTCCTCACACCGGCACCACACCTCGCCGACTACACAACCTCACGCACCACACTGGGTATACGGGAACGGTGAGAGGGGCAAAACCTACACACAACGCCACTACCTTAGTGGCCTCGCCACTTGACTGGGAAAGCTTCTACTGGCCCTCCACTCCCACAGCTACACAGACCACTAACTCCTAGTGGCCACACCAACGGGGGGGGGGCTAACTGGGACTATATAGCCACCCAGGGAGGGGGGTTCGGGCGCCGGGTTCTCCGCGTGCCCTGAGCCGAGTGCCGGGATGTCAGCACCTTATCATAATGCCCCGTTGCATGTCCTAACCCTTAACTGCAGAGGTCTGAACGTTCCTGAACGCCGCACCCATCTCCTGCGAGAACTGCGGAAATCGCAAGTATCTGTAGCTATGCTTCTAGAAACCCACTTCCTAGAGGGATGTGCACCAAAACTACGGAACCGATATTACCCCAACAATTTCTTTAGCAACCACAACACGGCACGTAGAGCCGGTGTTGCCATCGTCCTGTCCGCTAACCTGGACTTCAGGGAACTGGACAGGATGGTTGACACACAGGGGAGGTTCATCTTCCTAAAAGGCACCATTGCCGATAAACTCTACACATTGGTGTCGATCTATGTGCCCAACACAAACCAGGCAAGATTCCTTAGGGGAACATTGAATAAGCTATGAGGATTCTCGGAAGGAGCGCTTATTATAGGAGGCGACTTTAACACCCCACTAGACCCCCAGAAGGATACATCGACAGGCAGTAGCTGTCTACCACACTCTAGTATTCGCTCGATCCGCAAATCAATGAACGAGATGGGTCTAGTGGACAGCTGGAGAGCGCTTAACCCGGACTCCAAGAACTACACCCACTATTCGGCACTTCATCAACGCTACTCGCGAATCGACTACATACTGCTCCCACAGGAGGGCCTGACACGACTTAGGGCAGCTACTATAGGCCCTGCCACCTGGTCAGACCATGGTCCGATGATGGTTGAACTGGAATCACCGCTATTCAAACCAGCCCGTTGGACCTGGCGACTGAATGAGTCCTTGCTCCAAGACCCAGAGGTTTTAGGGGAAGTAACACAAGCCCTGGAATTATATTTCAGAGAAAATGATGTGGAAGGAATGTCGCCTATATCGATCTGGGAAGCACACAAAAGTGTAATTCGTGGAAATCTCATTAGGATAGCCTCCCGCAAGAGGAAAGCGGCGATGCGGGAGATGGCAGAAGTCTATGAGACCATCGCAAAGCTGGAACTCCAACACAAACGGACTCAACACGCTGACACACAAACGGAACTATTAAATGCCCGACGACGACTCCGAGACCTCATCACGCGAAAGTACTACCGCTCCTTACAATATTCGAAGAATTTCTTCTATATACACGCGAACAAAGGCGGCAAATTCCTGGCACGCCTCCTGAAAGGCGACACACCGCGAACAAGGGTACACAAACTCCGCCTCCCCTCTGGGACATCAACCTCCTTCCCAGACGAAATCGCAAACGAATTTCGCCGATACTACCATGCTTTATATAATCTCCCCGCCCTGGATGGGACAACATCGGGACCTGTAGCCCTCACACCCACCCAGGCCTTCCTACGGGATAATGTCTGCAAACGAGTGAAGCCAGACGCGACAACCATGCTAGATGAACTGATTAGCACCGAGGAACTAACCGCAGCTCTGAAGGCAACGAAGGTGGGTAAAGCATCGGGCCCGGACGGATTCCCCACAGGGTATTACAAACATTTCTCCGCATTACTCCTGCCCTGGCTGACGAAGGCACTCAACGCCATCACGGAAGGAGGACGATTTGGCATGGAATCACTAGCAGCTACAATCGCGGTCCTGCTCAAACCTGGGAAGGAACCCGAGCATTGCAGCAACTACCGACCGATTTCCTTACTGAATGTGGACACAAAACTCCTTACGAAAGTGCTGGCGACCAGGCTACAACGCGCGCTACCGAGTATAATTCACGCAGACCAAACGGGATTTATCCCAGGTCGAGAAGCTCGGGACAGCACACTACGACTTTTCTCCATACAACACCGAGCGCGAACCTCACGGGAACCCCTCTTACTGCGCTCTACAGACGCCAAAAAGGCCTTTGATCAGGTCAACTGGTCGTACATGATGCACACGCTAAGGGCCATGGGATTGGGATGTAAGATGATGTCGTGGATATCCGCCTTATACGATAAACCGCACGCGGCGGTCAGGGTGAATGGAGCACTGACCGCCAACTTTAAAATTAACAACGGGACCAGACAGGGATGCCCCCTATCCCCTCTTTTGTTTGCCATGACCCTGGAACCGCTTCTACAGGCTATAAGACAGAATCCGGACATTCACGGTTTAATTTGGAAGGGGTCAGAACATAAGGTGGCGGCCTATGCGGACGACCTTCTCTTTTTCCTATCTAACCCACGTATCACAATGCCCTGTCTACTCCTAGAATTTGAACGCTTTGGACGGATCTCAGGATTCAAGCTTAACCTTACGAAATGTGAGGTCCTTAATGTCACCCTCCCACAGAATGAATATGCCACACTGAGCTCTGCTTTTCCATTCCGATGGTGCTAAGGGAAAATGAAATACCTAGGAATATGGATCACTACCGATCCGCGAGACGTTTATCGACATAATTTAACCACCATGTTACAACAAATAACGTCAGACCTTGATCGCTGGGCATACCCACACATCACCTGGCACGGACGGATCGCGGTCCTCAAGATGAACGTACTACCACGGATCCTATATCTATTTCAAACCATCCCAATATCGCTACCGGCAACCTTCTTCTCGACTCTGAAAACGGTGGTCATCCGATATGTCTGGAGAGGGGAGAGATCCCGACTACGATATGAAACGCTGTGCTTACCCAGATACAGGGGTGGCCTGTCACTCCCGGATTTTAAAAAGTACCACCAAGCTACCACAATGCAGCGTATCCTGGAGTGGCACGCAGCCGAAAACCCGAAACAATGGGTAACCCTGGACAGAGCTGACTCAGGGACCAAACTTAAGGCTGATGTGTGGCGAGAAGGGACGGGTCGCTGTGGGAAAGAAGAGGATGGGAACCCAGTAGCACAGACATTGAAAACGTGGAAGACAACTAGGAGAATGACACAGGTCTCCCCAACCCCTAGCCCTATGCTCCCGGTTACCCATAACCCCGACATCGGAGGAGGACTCCCATATGGGAGCTGGGCGTTTCTGGGGGAAAGGGACTATGTCCCGTTCTGCACAATTTTGGAAGGAGGAACCATGCGACCACTCAACTCACTGCTGGCTGACAGACCACAGACGCCCTTACTAACCCTACACTACCTCCAATTGACACATTATTACGACTCCTTACCTCAAAAACAGCTGCTACACAGGGACCTTACGTGGTTCGAGGGACTATGCCGTCGAGGCACCGCACTTGAGAAGACAGTATCTCTCCTTTACCAACACTTGTTGATAGGAGCCTCCTCGGACAATAATACCTTTCAAAGACGGTGGGAAGCACAACTAGAGATACAAATCACACCAACACAATGGGGAACAGCTCTGCTATGGCAATATAAAAGCTCCTCAAGTTCCTACTACCAGGTGGTCAACTATAAATTGATCTCCATGTGGTACAGGACCCCAGTCGTATTACAGAAGATTTTCCCGGAGGCATCCCCAACCTGCTGGAGATGTCAGGAGGCAAGGGGCACCTTGTTACACCTGTGGTGGGAATGCCGGACTATCTCGCACTACTGGGATCGCATTCACACAGAGATAATGGCAATCCTGGGGAACGACACAGAATGGTCCCGAGAACTGGCCCTACTACATATCACCTCGCAATCCATCCCCGGATACAAGAGATCGATCCTACGCCATTTACTGAACGCAGCCAAATCCTTGATCCCCGTCTATTGGAAGAGATCAGAAGTCCCCACTATGGAAGAGTGGCTCCAAAGGGTTGGAGATATACAGGCGGCAGAGGCGTTACGGGCATCCCAGGCGGGACGTTCAGCAAGGCACGCGGAGATGTGGCAACCCTGGTTCTCATACCAAGCGGGTAGATAGCGGGCTTACATCACGCACACGAGGAGTGGAGGACCGGTGGGCGGACCCCAGATCCTTCCTAGCACTGGCTATGACCTCCCCGTGGGACGACTTGCCCCGATGGGAGACAAAACACAAGGACTCACACACTCCCTTGTTAACGCTGACCTTTTACAGGACACACAAGGGCTGAACGAACGTCAACACGGCGATACATAGCCATACTAAATAAGCACATGGACGGTTAACACGTACCTGGAATCCCAAAGTACAGTCTGGGACACTGCACACTGACGGGTGACCAAGGAACTGACACAACATACTAGTTCAGACCCCTGACATGCCTATAACGGGAGACAGTACCTGACAGAGACCTACGCTACAGTACCCTACACGCGCAGCACGTTCCATCACAAAACGACTAGATAATCCCCGAATACCACGTACCGACCACTCATCTACTCCGAGGCGAGGAGGAAAAGAGGAGCCCAAGGACGGACTCTTCTAAACCTACTAAACCTTTCTCCACCTTTCTTTCCTCTTTATACTACAATTACCTACCCCCCCACTTAACTGACCCATGGCATAGGAACACGGGATCCACACTGAATGACTAAATGCGGTATATACAATCACACAGGAGGTCGCGATAAGAGCATGAAGTGTAACTAATGGATACATGTAGGGCCCCATCCCAAATCTAACCAGTGGGAAAACACCTACATACCATCTTCTTACATACCGCATATCCACTAGCCATGTTTTAGGCTCATATTTTTATGCATGTCCGTAAAGCCGTAAATGCTATATATTACAATAACTTGTTGAATACTCTGGAATGCTGTATAATACATGTTATGTTATTTCACAACGTTATACATGGAGGCCTGCGAGCCTCGCTTTCTACATCTCCTTTTTCTTTACCGAACTTCCCTCAATAAAAACAGATTTACAAAAAAAAAAAAAAAGATAGTGAAGTAAACCGCAAGTGCATTCCCCCCCCGGGACTATTTAAATGTCTTAACCAGGGCCGTCTTTAATAACGAATGGACCCTGGGCAAGTGTTTGCTTGTGCCCCCTGTGC